CATTGAACGATTGGTCTCCATTCTTCTGTCTATTCTCTAAACAGCCTAACTACTCCTAGTTGCGGGTGTTTGGTTGTGTTTGCTTTGTTCTTTTGCAGAAGAAAGATCGTCATAAGCTGGAATCCAAGAGTGCCAGGTGTGTTTTCATGGGTTATAGTGATCGCCATAAGGGATATATGTGTTATGATCCTACGGAACGTCGTATGAGCATTTCTTGCCATGTAGTGTTTCTTGAATAAGTGATGCACTGCATAGTTGCAGCCAAATATCATCTCCCGACTCTGGAATTCCTTCGTCCCTTACCTGTGTTGGACTCGGAACCAAGGTTAGTGGTTCAACCAGCGGATTCCGATGATTCTGCCCCACCATCTCCGCCGTCGGTCACTCCTTCGACGTCCCAGTCTTCTCTCTCAGTTGGGTCGTCCTCGGCTTCGTCCTCTAATGGATCGTGGGATCTTTCCACATCGTCTTCTTCTAACTCCAGCTCTTCTAGTTCGTCCCTAGCTGATCCACCTTCACCGCCGCCACTTCGTGGATCCACACGCAAAACTCTTGGTCAGCCTCCTCTTCGCATGTAGGACTATGTTGGTTTTTCTACTGAACCTATTGCAGTTCCTAGTCATTATCGGTTCGCAGTGGGTCATCCAGAGTGGGATGCTGCCATGGCAGACGAGACATGGGCACTGGAAGCTAATCATACTTGGGATATTATCCCGCGTGTTCCAAGTATGCATGTTCTTGCCAATCGATGGGTTTATAACATCAAGATGTTTCCTGATGGTACTATCGAGCGTCACAAGGCTCGCCTGGTCGCACAAGGATTTCGGCAAGAGTTTGGCATAGACTACGACGAGACATTTGCGCCTATGGTTCGGATGCAAACTGTTCGTAGTATATTTGCTGTTGTAGCCATGCACAATTGGTCGCTTCGTCACCTGAATGTGAAGAACGCCTTTTTGCATGGCGGCTTGAAGGAGAAGATTTACATGAAATGTCCTGCAAGTTATGATAAACAGGGGAAGGATGTTGTATGCAAGTTGAGGAAATCATTATATGGTTTGAAGCAGACATCATGGGCTTGGTTTGAAAATTTTCATGCCACTATTCGCAGGCTGTTTTTTCACAGAGTTCGAGTGATCCCTCCATGTTTCTGCGGCATACAGTTCACGAGATAATTGTTTTGTTACTCTATGTTGACGATATGATTGTGACACGTAGTGATGTAGATGGAATACAAGAGCTTACTCAGTCTTTACATTCGGCGTTCAATCTCAAGGAGCTTGGGGAAGTGTCCTACTTCCTAGGATTGGAAGTGACTCGATCTAAGAAAGGATTATTTGTGAGTCAACGGAAGTACATTATAGATCTTTTGGAGACTGCACAGTATGGTGACTGCCGACCTTGTTCGACACCCATGGAGCATAATTTGAAATTGAGCAGGGAAAGTGGAGAGTTGTTGGAAGACCAGACGTTTTACAGAAGTATAGTTGGCAGCTTAATATATCTTACTCACACAAGACCAGACATAGCATATGTTGTACAGAATGTCAGTCAGTTTCTAGGGGTGGCCCGCACTACCCATCTGGATGTTGTTCATCGCTTGCTTCGATACCTGAAGCATACTCAATATTTGGGAATGTTCTTTCCAGCAGATAGCCGGCCAGAACTAGAAGGTTTTGCAGATGCAGACTATGCGGGTTGTCTGGATACTAGACGTTCGACTTCAAGATGGTGTGTGAGACTGGGTCGCTCTTTCATTTCTTTGTGGTGCGGAAAACAATACAGTCTCTAAATCTTCAACAGAGGCTGAGTACCACTCTATGTCCGAGGTAAGTTCAGAGATGGTATTGCTCCAACGTCTGTTAAATGAATTGGGAGTTGATTGTAGCTTGCCAATACGAATCTATGGAGACAATACTAGTGCTATATAGATAGCAAATAATCCAGTGCTTCATGATCGGACAAAGCATATTGAAGTTCATGTGCACTATATTCCACAACTAGTTGTTGAAGGCAGAATACAGTTGAGCTACGTGTCAACAGAAGACCAGACAGCTGATATGTTGACTAAGGTCGTGGCATCAAGTCGGCATTGGTACTTATCATGCAAATTGATGTTGGTAAACCGACATCAATTTGAGTGAGGGTGTTAATTATATATTTTAAAGTACTAATATGTAAATAGTATTAATAGTAGTCGGCTTAGGTTTAGGTTTTACCAAACCTATATATTACTCATGTAATCCGGAGAAAGAGTAATGAAGCAATAACAATAAAAACCTGTGAGAAAGATCTTCACCGTGGACTAGTGTCATATTGACGAAACCACGTTAAAAACTCGGTGTTCTTTCGTCATTGAGAGATAAGAGTCTAAATCAAGGGAATCAAGGACCACAACAAAACTGTCATTTGTCTTTTATCATTGAAAACCGAGATTCTTAAACAAACAAGTTATTTTTTTCAAATCCCGCGCTTTAGATTCCAGAGTTTTAAATTGGGAGATAAGAGTCTAAATATCTCATAAAACTCTGAACTCAAATTCCCATCCAAGCCACCCCTTGGTGAAACTAAAAGGAGGATGTGGGAGATGAAGAATCTGGAGGGACGGAGATGGGATTGGATGGGGGGAGCGGATATGGTGACAACACCATATTTGTTGTTATTGTAACAACACTAGTCTTCAACCAATAGGAAGCTAGGGTTGTGATGACTTTTTATTAGTTGAGTTGACCTAGTGTAAAATCAAAGCAGGGGTATAATTGTCATTATAAAAAAAATAAAAAAAATATTTTTTTCATTTTCTGCCAAAAATTTTGGTCGCCAGAATTCGGCCACCGGTCGCCGGTCACCGGAATATGCTTTTTGTCGCCGGAATATGCTATTTTGCCATCGGAATATGCTCACCGTGGTCGGAATATGCTTACCGGCGTCGGAATCTAGTCATCGGGGCCGGAATATGCCTATCGGCGCCGGAATCCGGTCACTGACGGTCATCGGAGTTTGGTCAACGGTTTTCGTTGACCAGTCAACGGTCAACGACCACCGGATGTTATGGTCTTCATTGTGATATTTATGGTTTGGTTTCTCACATTTTTGTATGCCTTTTGTGGTTTGCTTTATCGTGTTTATGGTTTGCATTGAGAAGTTTCTGGTTTGCTTTATCGTGTTTGTGGTTTGCATTGAGAAGATTCTGGTTTGCTTTCAAAAATTTTGTGTTTTGCATTGAGGGATTTGTGGTTTGTTTTAGGAGATTTGTGGTATGCATTAGGAGGTTTCTAGTTTGTTTTTGTGGTTTGCTTTAACGTGTTTGTGGTTTGAATTATGAGGTTTCTGGTGTGTTTTTTAAAATTCTGTGGTTTGCTTTGTGAGGTTTCTGGTTTGTTTTAATATATTTTTTGTCTGCTTTAGGACGTTTCTGGTTTGTTTTTGTGGTTTGCTTTACTGTGTTTATGGTTTGCGTTATGAGTTTTCTGGTGTGTTTTTGAAGATTTTGTGGTTTGCTTTGTGAGGTTTCTGGTTTGTTTTAAGGGATTTGTAGTATGGATTGGGAGGTTTCTGGTATGCTTTTTTTGGTTTGCTTTATCGTGTTTGTGGTTTGTATTATGAGCTTTCTGGTGTGCTTATGAAATATTTGTTGTATATTTTGTGAGATTTCTAGTTTGTTTGAGATTATTGGTATGCATTAGGAGCCCACTTACTAAACTGTAGTCACTACTCACTACCACATTTTAAATTTATTAGGTTATATAGAACAAGGAAGCAACCATGAAGTTACATTATACAGGCCAGAGCAGTTCAATGTAAAACATCTTTTCGCTTGCACCCCTGACCCCAAAACTGAATTCACAGTCTGCCACTCTTCGTCCCTCCAATGATATATCGTCATTTTTGAACCAACTCCTCACTCATCTCTTTCCTAATCTCCTTGTAAATTGTAATCATATATCTTATTAACAAGGTCACTATTTCATTGATCGTAACAAACTAGATGAGTTCCTATTTAGCACAATTCACAAACAAACAAAAAAACAAAAGCAACAGTGAAAATAAAATGCAATTTTTAGGATATTACAACTTAGCATTGGTACCCATCTTCTGCATGTCAACAATGGCCGCCTCCGCCTCCTCCACCGCAATCCCCAATCCTCAATCCCTCCTCCGCCTCCACTGCTTCCTCCACCACCAGATCTCCTCTCTCCATCCTCCGCCCGTCATTCTCGGTCGGCCACTCGTGCAGTTGTACGTGTGAAATCATTCTCCGATAATGATGAAGAAGCTATAAGCTGCGAATTCAATAGTAGCTAAGGTAGCTAGGCGACGTTTCCATGGCGCTCGTCGATGGAATTAATTCAGGGCGGCTTCTCTTCGACGACGACCAGCGACGGCGCACGAGGATTCGTTTGGATCCCGATTTACCTTATCGCCGGCTTCTCTTCGACGACGACCAGGATTCGTTCGGATCCCGACGAGCGAGCGAGCAGCAGCATGCCGCAATGCAATCGGAAGACCAACAATACAAGCGAACGACGGCAGCCAGAAGAAGAAGAGGGTACTCCGGTATGATTCATCCTCCGCCGCCGCTCAGATCTCTTTTTGAAAGAGTAGGGAATTTGGGTTAGTTGGTGGTCCAATGGAAATTTGGTGGAGATTTTCTCCAGATTTTTTTAGTTGGTGGGAAGAAGACGAGAGAAAAGGGGATGAGAATGGTTTATAATTCGTAATTTCCCTTTTTACCCCTGATGTTACTATAACAACACAATGGGTGTTGTTATAGTATCCGGACCCTTGGATGGGTGGGGGTGGCTGGATGGATGGATGAGTTTTTTGTTTTAATTAAATTTGAACGCAACGTCATTTTGATTGGGGAGCTGTAATTCCGTTTTTTTAGTTTAAACAAACCAAACCGAAATTATTTAGTCCAGTTTCGGTTAACAACAGTTTTGTAATCCACTCCACTTTTTAGTTTCTAATTTTACCAAAATACGAAATCGATAACCAGAATAATTCGCTTCGGTTTAATCGGTTTGGACCTCCCCCGATTGTGGGGAAAAATAACATCAAGGTACAGGCAACAAGTCTTGCACTGTACTATATATAACATAACAACAACAACAAAAACATGCAAACAACCAATACGACATATACGTACTTAATTGTCTTAATCCATGACTCCTACTAATTACTACGCACAACCAAACATCTGCGGATCGATTTCGTCACCTTATTTCCCCTACTGAACTCTTTATCTGACTAGTTATACATGTTACCTTATTATATCGATCGATCCCCATTACGTAACCCTGGGCTGCCCTCTGTCATATACTTAGTGGATTATGCTAATTCCATCAAAGCTCCGAGTTAATTAATGGATGCTCCCTTATTCAAAGGCACGTTCATGACTGGCTTCCCCATGTTCCATGCCGTGAGTTTGTCGACCTTGATCTCCTCCGTCCCGTTGTTGAACAAGAAGAGACGGGCTTTTGTACCTGTTGCCAGCGTCGGATAAACCCTCGACGTTATCACCGTTTTCCCTCCTTCCGCGAAGCTCTCCACCACCGAATGATCAATCTGTATATTCCATTCATTCACAATAACAATATCTTCAGTTCTCGATGACGTCAAAGTAATTTTACCAAACAGGCAAAAGTTTTTCAGAAAGTTACCAAGCTCCTCAGGGAAATCTTCTTAGTTTTAGACACGTCAACGTCCACGTATCCAGCAAACGACGGCTTGTACAGCCCCTTGGCCAGGCTAGAACTGAAAGCAAACCAAAAACAGATCTATATCGCCCACATAAAAAGAAATATTTAAAACAAGATAATGTGGTAGAGAAATACAAAAAAAAAAAAAAAAAAGTGGATGTTATTAACCTGGTGGCATCGGAGCAGAAGAGAACGACGTGCTTGCCGCCTTTCTTGAACACCCTGAACATGACCGGAGTGAACTCCCCGAGCTTCTCGGAGGCTACGGTGAGCAGCCCAAACGGCCCAAGCCCACCCGGAACGGTCGAGCCCTTCTGATGACAGACATCTTGGGCCGGAAGATCGGCCCATTTGGGATCGAAGGGCTCAGCTCTGTCGAGGCTCCGGAATGAGAAGGTGACCTCCACGTCAGCCTGGGCAGCAGTGATGCCTCCCACTTCGACGTACTGTCCTTTCCTCAAAACTTTGGAGTTCAATTTACGTGGATTGGGACTTCTAAGTTTCTCCAGCTCTTCAATCGGCCACTGCAACAGTTGCTTCCCACTTGGGTCCAGCCAAACCTTTCTCGGGATCAGCTGCAATGGATAAACCACAGTTAAACCACGATTTATTACAAACTATCCTACAACATGTATAACTTTCGGGATAATTTCGAAATCGTTGTTGTTTACCTGAATTCCGGCCCAACCCTTATCCTTATCACGGGCCTCACCATCGGACTCGTTGGCCCAAGCCCACAAAACCCTACGGTGCTTCTTGTAGTCGAAGAACGATTTAGAAGCATAGAAGTTACCGTAGTCGTACCGGAGCCCGGCCCAACTGTCCACCGAGCCCACATCCGGAACATACTTCTCCTTCTCCTTGTCGTACACTCCGATCGTGTAGTAATCGAACCTCGTCAAGTCCAAGCTGACTTTAAACACGTGCTTCACTTCCTTCCCCACAGCTGACGTGTCCAGGCCCCTCCGCCCAGTGGGCGAAACCGGGTAGAAATCAGGACACTCCCACATCCCGGTTCCCCGAGCCGAGTGGAGCGGCTCTTTCGCCCTAACCCACTTCTTGAAGTCCTTGCTTGTATACAGGTAAGCGACCCCGACCATGTCACGCTTGCTCCCGATCACGGTGTGCCACTCCCCGTTGACGAACCAGGCGGTGGTTGGGTCGCGGAAGGCGCTGGCGTTGACGGACCGGTCCGGGTCGATGAACGGGTTCCCCTTGCTGGGTTTGACCCAGGACCGGAGGTAAGGGTCGGAGAGGTTCGTGGGGACGGCGTAGTCTTGGACCTGGCGGTTGTGTTTGTCGACACCCGTGTAGAGGATGACGGGCTTGTTGCCCGGGAGGATGGTGGCGGATCCGGACCAGCAGCCTTTGATGTCGAAGGGCTTCGTGGCCTCGATTGCGGGCTCCAGGGCCTGCCAGTTGATGAGGTCCTTGGATACTGAGTGGGCCCACACGATGTTTCCCCAGACTGAGCCCTTGGAATTGTATTGGTAGAAGAGGTGGTAAAAGCCGTTGAAGTACATTGGGCCTGGGTGGGAATTTGGCACTAAATTGTTAATTTCTTTCCGCACGTGACAAATTTTGAAGAACAGGAATGTAGAAAGATGGGCTTCTGACTTACCATTTGGATCTGTGGGCCCATTATTGACAGTTTGGAACATCCACCATGACAAAGTAGAAAACAAAACAAGTTGGTGAAACTTTAGTCAAGAGAACTTGGGATCTCCATAGTGCAATTCTAATTTAATAGTACAAGCGAATGAAGAAGTATGATTTTCTTGACTTACCAAATGTATGTGATGTTTTGGTTTTTTTTTTGGTTTTCATTTCGATTTCAGTGGATGAGATTTGATCGATTTGTCAGTAACACTAGTAGGGCTCGAAAAGGTCCAAGGAGAATCTAAGTCATTTGTTGAGTCACAAAGGGTTCAGTAAGGTAGGATGGAAACAATGCTTTTTTAACCCGAATGCTAATGGTCGCCAAACATAGAAACCTCCAGCTAGTTTTTCAACCATGTAAAGCCAATAACCACCCACTACCGCCACCAATCCCTCATCTCGAAGCCATTTTCCACTTGGAAGCAGGCTTTAGATAAACTTCTTTTACCTTACTATCACTGCAATTGTGCAAATTTTAGGCACTCCCCACTAACAAAGTTCTCTCAAGTTTGGGGGCTATGGTGACAAAAAGAGATATAGCCCTGATTCCACCAACCCAACCTATTGCAGTGTGAAGAAATGTTTTTTGACAATTCAGTGGGGGTGAAAAATGACTATACATAGCATTGATATATAGCTGCAACCCTAATTTACTTTTCTTTTCCACGAAAGTAATCAAATACATAAGGGAACTAGGAAAAATAAACCTTTTTATCTATATCAAGTGTTATAAGTCCAGAAAATATATGAACAAGTGCAATGAGTTGCTAAATCCGATGTTAAACGGAATGCCTACTATAGGGTGAATCTGCATTTTAAATCTTGTTTTTAATATGATTTTGATTATGATTTAATCTTACATAATGATGGTATATGAAAGGAATTACACAAGCACAAGCAAAGATGCTCAATCTACTCCTACAAAAAAGATGCTAAATCTTGTGGTCAGTAATGTAATCAGGAATTTTTATAATGAGTATAATAATTTTAAAAATAAATATATCTTATATGAGTTTTTTTTTTTTTTTTTTGCAATAAGTCAACCTTTTTCTACTCTAATAAAATTGAAAAATATTTATTTTTCATCTAAACTACCAAGGACCTCATTTTTAATATCCTTGCTTTAGTTATTATGGAAGCTAATGAACTTTGGTCGGAATGGAATGGTAGTAGCGAGCTACTTAACGACCATGTTCGATAGGAAGAGTTTAGTCTCTCATAAATTGATGAAATTGAAAAGAGAGACACAGTTACATACTTGAACCCTAAATAAGTTGGCCACTAATATTGGAAGAGGATAAGAGTCCTGCCACGTTTGGGCTAACAGTTAAAAGGTTTGATTAATTGCATGTGGTTTTTATTTTAGTTTATTTATGTACAAAAATTATGACTTAATCTGTATAACTAAAAATAATTTAAATGTATATTATTAGCTGTAGGAAAAAAAATATATATTAGGAATAAGGTTCTATGTTCAAAGTCTCATTGTAAAATACTAATATACTCATTTTCCATCCTTATTCTTCCAAGCCAGGGTCAGGGTGTGCCAGGGAACCTCTCCCAACACTTGGTTGTGGTAACTGTAAAGGATATTTCCACACTAAAATGGCGTGATAGATAAATCACAAATGAGTAACTAACTCTTTTTATCTAACACAAAGTTGTAAGTTATAATCTCTGCGAAATAATTATTTACCTTTTTTTTCCTAAGAAATGTTTGCAGGTAACATGCATATATATATATATGAGGTCGTTATTACATGGAGGAAAACCAGATCTGAAACAACCAATATATGACACATTAAAATAAATACCGTTGATCCAGTGCTTAGAAGGCTGGAAATGGTAGCCGGTCCGGTGAGTTTCGTCGACCTTCTCGGCGGAAAGAGACTGCAACTCCGGGTACACTTTGTGGGAACCTTGGACGCCGATGATCGTCGCCGCCACCACGACACAAAATGCGGCGACATGCAACGACGTCGCCGTCGAAGAACGAAGCTTTTCCCCACACATCAATGATTCCCAGTTTCTTTAGTCTACTTTCTAATTTTTTTCACTACACCGCAGTAACTCGGTGGTTTCTCTCCGTTTCTTTAGAGAGGCGAAGGAAGCGGGTTGGGATCGGAGTCTATTTATAGAGAAGAGCCGACTCAGTAGCAGTAACTTAGTATTTACTGACTGAAATTCAAAACGAACATAGTAACTTTTTTTTCTTTTGGAAAAAGGAGGAGGTTTGAGTGTTTTTGCTGTGAAACGATTCCAGTCAGTTAGACCCATTTGTCATTTACCCTCTGGATAAATGTTGCCATTTTCAGAGAAGTGGAACAGATTGGGGAAACAAACAAAGCACTGGCTGATATTTAATCTTCTGTTTTTATATTAGGTATTTAAATAAATTCTTAATTTCTCACCCTTTTTTCTCAAAAACAACTTTCTCATATGGGCTAAAAAAAAGATACCCTTGAAGGATAGAACGATGGTCTTTGGAGAGGAGGTAAAAGTGTACTTTTTTTTATAATTGAGAAAATTTTATTAAGACGGACAAAAAGAAAATAAGACAAAAATTCAATCAACAGTTGAAAAGAGTAAGGAAAGAAACAAAACTGAAAACAACGACAAAAAAACACTAAGAAAAATCCCGAATATGGGACGAAAACTCAAACCAAGAACGACACAAAAAGAGAAGACTAAAAAAATCAAAGAAAAACGCTCGTCAACTGATAATACATTACAACAAAAACACACTCAAGAACAAAAACTATCTAACTAGTGGATAATATCCGGAACCATTCCTGACACACGTCATCTGTAATCAACTTTCGAGCGAGCATCCATCTCCCAACCGAATGAATGATCTTACAGCAAATGCTTCATGGTGGTGACTCTGTATCTCTGAAAACCCAATGATTTCTTTCCAACCAAATAAGCCAAAACACAGCATGAGGAAGAAACCTCTTGCGCCTATTAAATCGAGAAAGACAAACCGCACCTCTCCATACTAAAAAAAACATCTTCGAGTCCTCTGGAAATGGCCCAAAGATTGAAAAGACCTTCCGGAAGATAGATCAAACAGTAGAGGCAAAAGGACATGAGAAAAGAATGTGAGATACGGACTCCTCATTGCACTTACATAATAGGCATCGGTTAGGGAAAGTCATGCCTCTTCTACGAAGATTATCTAATGTAGATACATTGTTATGAGCCGCCATCCACACAAAGCAACAAATTTTAGAAGGAACGAGAGGGATCCAAATACGTTTGTGGGGGAAGGAACTATCTCCCCTTGAATTGATCCTGTATGAGCTTGGTAGCAAAAGAGTGCACAGAGAATCCCCTCAAACTCTCGAGTGGCCACACCAAAGATGGAGGCACAGTGGTAATCAACAAGGGATTGAGAGTTGAGAGGAGCTGCATTAGATCGAAATACTCCGGATGTGCACCTCCTTGTAGTGCAATGGAAAGGGGAATTGTTTGAAACAACCTGCCATCCACATCAAACATGTCAGAAACATACACGTCTAAGGATTGGGTAGCTATTGCAATCCTTGGAAACTCTCTCGCTAAGTGTTTCCCAGGAATCCACACATCATGCCAAAAAGAAACCCCATTCCCTCCCCCAGGATCAATATAGGCAAACTTCCAAAAGAAAGAACCCTCCTTTACAATATACTTCCATACTGACCATCCAGAAGATCCCAAATTCCACCTTTGGTGCCAATCGGACTCACATCTCCCACATTTCATCACAATTAACTTCCTCCACCATGCATCTCTCTCCATGCCGAATCTCCAAGCCCACTTTCCCAATAATGCACGGTTCATGACCCTCATATCCAAAACCCCTAAGCCACCCTGATTAATAGGGGTTTTCACCACCTCCCAACGAACAAGGTGCAACCGTTTAGTCTCTCTTGTACCCGACCATAAAAAATCATTGAAAAGCTTTTCAAGTCTAGCAATAACTGTGGCATGAGCTTTAAAGAGGGAAAGGAAGTAGATAGGCAAACTGGACAACACACTTTTAAGAAGAACCAACCTTCCACCAAAGGGGAGAAATCTCGTCTTCCATGATGCTATTCTAGATTGAACTCTAGTAAGAACCGGTTCCCACACTGCAATTGAGGAGGCCCGTGTACCTAAAGGTAGCCCAAGATAAGTTGTGGGAAAAGTTTCAACATCACACCCAAAGATCCTTGCAAAGCGAAGAGGATCTGACACCTCTCCAACCACCATCATCTTACTCTTGTGTAAATTCACTTTGAGCCTCGACACAGTTTGGATGATAATGAGAGCTATGAGAATATACTGAACCTGTTCTTCCGATGCATCACAAAAAATCATGGTATCATCTGCATAAAGGATATGAGTAACCTCCCCCATCTGTGTTGTCTCGTCCATAAAGAAACCAGTTACCAATCCTTGTGCTTGAAGCATCCTAATGATCCCGGATAAAATCTCCATGACAAGAATAAATAGAAAGGTGATAGGGAGTCACCCTGACGAAGCCCTTTCTCACTAAAAAAATATCCTGAGGCCTCCCCATTAACAAGAATAGAGAAGGTAGTTGTAGAGATACAACTCTTAATCCAAGTGATTGGAAATCCCATCCTCTTCATTGTAGATAACAAACACTCCCAATTGACATTGTCATAAGCTTTCTCAATATCCAGTTTGAAAACCAACCCCGGTCTTCCACTTCTCTTTCTAGAATCAATCAACTCATTAGCGATCAAAGAAGCATCCAAAATCTGTCTATGCCCCACAAAAGCACATTGTTCCTCAGCAACTAATTCACCCATGAACTCTCGCATGCGCTCCATAAACACTTTGGTAAGGATCTTGTACAAAGTGGAAACCAAACTAATAGGTCTGAAATCTTTTATATTCTCTACAGCCTCCTTTTTAGGAATAAGACATAAGAAGGTAGCAGGGACCATCTTGGGGAGAACACGTGTACGATGAAACTCATTCAAAGCCTTTAAAACACCTTCCTTCACGATGTCCCAATGTCTCTTAAAGAAATTCATTGGAAATCCATCTGGTCCTGGTGCTTTATCTCCCGAGAAATTCTTTACTACATTCCAAACCTCTCCTTCTAAGAAAGGTTGCACAAGACTATCATGAGCATGTGATGGCAGAGAAGGGAAAGCCAACAATGAAGGAAAAGGCCTCTCACGTATGTCTTCAGAAAAAGAATTTTTGAAATGAGCCACAATAGCATTGGCAACTTCTTCTTGGCCCACACATATGGACCCATTTACCATAATTTTATCAACAAAATTTCTTCTTTTATTCTGGTTAGCCACCGATGAACAGATGCGGTATTCTGGTCACCCCACTTCAACCAAGTTTCTCTAGATTTCTATCTCCAAGACATCTCTTCTCTCTTTCACAATCTATCCAAATGACATTTCAAAAGAGCTCGTTTAGTCCTTTCTTCCTCACCCATCCTTCCACTTTCTTCTAATGCATCCAACATAGAAACCAATTCCAATGTCAATCTGATATCCTCATCCGCCCGTTTAAAAACTTCTTTATTCCACACTTTTAAAGAAGCTTTCAATTGTTTCAACTTCTTCGCACATAGAAAGAAATATCCATACCCTATAAATGTAATTTCCGACTCCCACCACAGTTTGAGTTTATTGGCCAAATCCTCATGATCAAACCACATCGTCTCAAATCGCCAATGACGTAGCAGAATCCTTTCATCACCACACGACACCAATAAAGGAAAATGATCCGAGCATACACGAGTGAGAGCCCTCAACTTACATTCAGGATAAGATTGATCCATTTGTGTCGAAATAAGTGCACGATCCAATCGTGACAAAGAAGGCCCCTCCCTGAAGTTAGACAATATAAATTGAGCTCCCAATAGAGGCAAGTCTATCAACTCACGATCATTTATAAAATCATTAAAAAGATTCATCTCTGCCACACTCCTAGCTTCCCCAACCACTTCATCTTGAGAATGAATCACATTAAAATCACCAACAATACAAGAAGGAAAATCCCCCCAATTCAAACAAGCATTTAATGCAGCAAAGAATGCTCGTCGCTCATTTGCAGCACAAGGACCATACACATTAATGAGAAGCCAATATTGGTTTCCCTATGTCTCAACACCACCACCACACAATACAATCCAATCCACTCCCACTGAAGTTCAAAATCATCCTTATCCCAAGCAACAAGAAGACCCCCTGACAAGCCGACCGATGGTTTTTCCACCCACTTTGAATTACGGTTATTGCACACAAAAGAAACCACAATATCATCCGATTCTTCAACTTTTGTTTCCTGTAGGCACACAACATTTGGTTTATGCATGTCCAACAATTCTCTAATCCTATACTGCTTATCCGAATCCCGCACACCTCTAACATTCAAAGATACCAATCTAAGCATCATGATGAAAGCGAAGAGGTGGTACAGACCTTGACCTTCTTCTTTGACCACGTGGATACACAATGGTCCCCTCGACCTCAATCCAACGAAGTTCCATATCTTGCGGGGTACGGAGTTGCATGGTCCTTCTCTTGAATAGTGTTTCAACTATTGTCCTCTTCGCGATCGCATTTGCCTCTTCTATCGACTCGTCGTTTTTTAGAATTTTTAGAATTTATTAAAAATTTTACATGTAAATTTACCTACATTCGAAAGTTGAAGAGAGTTCTAAGCTCCCCTGGGCTTAACATGCCTCCGCCACTAGCGGGAGATGAGCTTCGTTAAATTTTTTTTGGATGTGATAGTTTATTTATATGCGTAAGATGTGGTTGTTCAAGTTCTCATAATAACTCGAGTTATTGAATATTATAGTTGTTTTCTCTTAGAGATCACGTGTTCAAGTCCTAACAACCTCAAATATTAAACATTGTCTTAAATCACATGGTAGGACTAGAAACTTAAAATCAATGAAAAGGAAAGAAAAAAAAGACATTTAGTCACCACAATTCAAACATTGTTGTGCCTAACCTATATTTAATTTAGGTTTCTCGATATGCAAGTTGTGTGTATTATCACGTATAAAAATTGAAATAGACAAAAACTTAAGCATAAATATTAAAATGCGTATAATTGGATAGAATTATTCAAATATGTAATAGACAATATTTGAGCCAACAGAATTTAGTAGAGAAGTATGTCACGTATAAAAATTGAAATAGACGAAAATTTAAGCAGAAAGATTAATATGCGTATAATTGGAGAGAATTGTTCATATATGCATAGGCAATATTTAAGCCAATAGAATTTAGTTTTCCTTCTACCAAGGTTCTGAAATTATTCCCGTCATGATAGAACAGGTGTACCTTTGATGACGTATCGGTACTTGAAATCCCATTAACTT